AGTTGTAACATGTCCATGTAATTAAGGAGAGCCAGCAGTTTAACACAGAATTACAGTCATGTGAGCAAGCTTTTGAATCCAACAAGGATTAGCTGAAGAGGTATTTATTTACAAGCCAAACCCCATGGTTTGTTTCACAGAGGTCTGACTAATCCTTTCATTTTACTGTTCTCCACTTCAGTGACACAATCTGCTATCACTGCCTCCTATGCTCCCCTTCCCCCTCAGTGTAGCACTACCTCTTGGAGGTAGCCCTCATTTCTGGGCAGCTGCCCCTAAGAATTACTGCTTAAACCTCAACCCTGAGCCCTCTCCTAGACAGATAAAAGTGACGTTGAAAACAGCACTGATTACTTCTGTCTGAAACTGGGGCAGAAAGAAAGGGATTGTTTCATTTTCCAAGCACTCTGAACACAGAAAAGGAAAATAATGGCTAAAAAACAACCTCCAAAGGATCCAATGGCTCTGGAATCAAGCAAGGAGCTATTTCATCTCCAAAAACCATCAGTGAAACAGGACGTCCCCATTATATAAAATTATTTCTGCTATGTCAGTAGAAAATAGAGCAAGCTGAACTCCAATGAAAACTTTCACAGACCCCTATAAAGCTTAGAGCATTGCTTCTCTTTGCATACTTAAGCATTTTAACAAGCAGAAGCATGGGTAGTTACACTTATGCTGCAATGTAGTTCTAAACATTTCTGGACAAACAACTGTAATTTATTATCACTCAAGACTTTTAAAGCTGAATTCAAGGTCCAACATGAAATTCATGAACTCATTAAAATGCAAATAAAATTAAACAAAAAAGTTGAAGAATACATATCTATATGTAGCGGTCTGAGTCAATATTTGTCACCATGTGAACTACTGTTGTGCCAGTATCTCAAGTAAAATCTAAAGTATTTTATGTTCTTTACAGTAAATTTTACAGCATAAGAATAAAAAAAAGCTGTCTTGAATCAGACAAGTTATCCATCTAGCTCAGTATTCTGTCTCCAGCAATGGCCACAAGAGATGCTATTTATGAGATCACATGAACCTGGCCACTTTCTGCAGTGTATTCCCTCAGAGGTTCCCAGCCCCAAAAGTCATTTGATTAGAGATGTTGGAAGGCACCCCCTTGTCCCCCCCTTTCAGCATCCATCTGTGGACGTGTTGTTCGAGCTTAGGCAGCTGCTTTTTGAACCTGCTGGTACTGATTGCCTTCACCAGCTCTTGTGGCAGCAAAATCCAGGAGTCAACTACTTGATATATAAAAATGTACCTTTTTTGGACATGGTTTAGACTTAATTTCAAGCATTTTCTATAAGTGCCTTCTAGTCCTAATCTTGAGAGATTTGGTGAACAGCAGTACTGCTTTTGTCTGACCAGCTGAATCCACAGTTTTATAAATTTTAATCACATCCCACTCCAACTTTCTCCTCTGCGTGTCAAAGCAAGCAGTTCTGTAAGCAATAAATCTGAAGTCCATTTCTTTTTTCCTTCGACGGCTTTTTTTTCCTGTCATATCTGTACCATCATAGTTTCCCGACCACCTCATCGTAACCTCCTTTCCCTGCTGCACTTGTAAGCCCTTGGCCCTAGCTATTGGCTAGACCAAAGAACACACACGCTAGAGCTCATTTAGAGACACATCTACCCTGATTGCCTTCCAGTATGTGCGCTTATTGGCCAGCTTAACTACAAGAACAGAACAGATAATGACCCTACTAAGGGAAAGGCAGCAATTACTTTGTGTTTCTGCAATAGTCACTGGTTTTCACAAAAGTTTAGGAATCGAGTACCTTTGGGAATTCAAACCTGCAGCCAAATGTGACTGAAATTTGCATAGGCCTTGCTTCCATAAGAAACCAAACTTAAGCAGCATCCAATAAAGGATTTAGTGAATAAGTGGACTGATTTTTGGAAGTACTTAGATATTTCAAAAGCTGAAACAAAAATGGGTCATTCCAGTTGCAGCAACTGTATTTTCCAATACACACAAAAAACTTGGGTTTTTTTGAAATGCCAACAGAACAATCTCCTACAGTGACCAAAAGATATGTTTTATACAGTATGGGAATGATCTTCCTCTATAGATGTTAGCAAACAGATATTGTTGGATGGCTGCACTTTAGTGCGTATAACAGTAAAACTACTGCACAATCGTAACTCATCTTCCATAGGAGTTCCCTTTTCTAATACCTTTCCACTTTTCTAATACCTCAAGTCCTAATCTAATAGCAGCTTCTGTAAAACTTCTTCGTTCCTTCTCAAAATTCTTTTTTTGTTCTCGAAATAGTCTCCATTCTTCCTGAAGACGCTCTCTTTCTTCCAACAAATAGCAGTCCTGTAGTAACAGAGTGGTGTCATCGTCACATGGAGACATAAGCTGCTGCTGCAGACATAAAGCAACAAAAGACGCAAACATTAATTTGGGAGTGACTATTAAGAGGTGCAGTATTTCCACAGGTTCAGTTTTATCAGAAAAATGGTTAAAGTTTAATATGGAAAGAACGTAGTAAGTATCAAGTTGGTGGCCGGTGGGAGCAGAGTTTCAGATGGCAAGCAAAATGTTCAGGCAGCTGACCTCATCAGCCTTCCTCACCTTTGTTTATCCCCAAAAATTATTCCTACCAGGATTACAACCTCATTAAATTACTAACCAACCCACTAGCACACCTATACTCGGACCAACCATTAAGATATTTTATTTAAAAAGCATTACCAAAGAATGGAGAAAGGCTCAGAGGTGAGAAAAGTGGCACATTGAAAACCAAAAAAACTTAGATTCAGTTGAGAAAAATAAGAAAAATTAAAGCCTACTACCTGTAAGAGCTGCTGCTGAGTTTTGATCATTTCTTTACATTGCTGAATCTCTAACTCTAGCTTTTCAGTTTCCAGCTCATGGTCTTCTCTTGAAATGACATCTTTTTCATTCAAAGCTCCTGAATGTACACGTGACACTAAGGGGGGAAAAAAGCTACTTAAAAACGAGACAAAAATATCCCTCACATCAGGGACTCGTAGCAATAGCAAAAGATTTTAGACTCTATTTGTTTCATCCTGAAAGACAGATACACAGTGTATTCAAAAGCACTTCTGTCAGAGACAAGAGATCCAGAATCAGTGCTACACATGTAATTATGCAGAAAATCCAGTTCAGGAAAAAATGGCAATGAAAACATAACTGTTTCACATTCCCCAAGGTAAATCAAGCGTCTGCACTGCAATAAGTGTCACACAAAAACCCACTTGTTTCAGCAGCTATTTAAAAGAAAAATCAAGACAACTGAAGACTTCTTTTCACTGACATGCTGTTAGCCTATTCTTCCGAGCCCATTTTTGAAGGGCTTGTGCGTTCATAAAAATATGACAGTAACTATATTTATCACAGATATAAAAAGAAAGCCTTTTCCTTCAAGTCCTGTGAAGGAGAAATGGAGCTAACAAACATTGTGTGCATATTTTCATCCCAGTAAGGGAATGAATTAGAGAGGAATAAAATTTATTTTGTATAATTACATACTGCTTTATTTGATTTCATGCATAGCTATCACAGTGACTGTAATGAGCCAAGTTTTGATCCCCTGATGCCAGTGTTTGAACATTGACTCCTAAAAGGACTAGACTGTGTTCATCTCTATAAATCCAAAAACCAAAAAGGTAACTCCAAGAAAACAGCAAATACTCGAAACATTTTTCCTGATGCTTACAACTATTTTTTCAGTTTGTTACACCAAATCAAGTATTACTCAGAACAAGTGTTCTTAAAAGTCCTTTCTATGGTACAAACATATTCCCATAGACCATCTGCTCTTTTATTTGCAATTGCATGCGTGACCTTCTCGGTCTTATTCCTGACTGCAAACATCCCTGTGGTAGCAGCAGCATTTGCTTGCATGGGAAAATAATACTAGGAAAGAATTTTATATATTTTTAGCAGTCTTTTAATGCTGTTCAACAGCTGGAAATGAGGAGAGTCCGGCACCATACTACCAGACAGTTCACTTTACAATGCCACAAGAAACCTCAGAGGTATGGATGTGGCAAGCCTAGACTCTTGAGAAGGGTTTGCATATTTTGCATCCAATTACTTCAAATTGTTACATCTGCATTACTTGAACATCTCAAAAAGGTGGGGAAAGGCAACAAACATTATGACAGGGCATGTACTTTCAAAAGAAAAATAATTATTTCTTCAGAAAGTTGCTGTTTACTGTGTCAAACTATAATCGCGTCCTTTCTCATGATAACAGGCTTGGTATGCAATTGCTTCCCTAACTACCTACAATTAAAACTCACACAGAAAAATGCCATCGCAAGTCCTTTCAGAAAGTCTACCAGGTCACAAATCCTTCCATTTTAGCTTCCTTTTAGCTTAGACAGTCAGTAAAGTAAATCCTAAGAGCATGATACCGAATGTAATTATCAGTAGCATTTTCTATGTACATGTAATACAGTTAAACATCACCTTGGTTATCCAGCCTTTCAACATGATTTTTCAACATTCTCCATTGTTTTCTAATGCTGTTGGTAAGCTGCTCTCGCACAGTTTCACAAGACAGTTCCCACATATTCTCTTTATTTAACTCTCCAATATCTTCCTCCAGGTCTGACAGCACCTATAGGAGCAGAAACAAGAAGCTGCAAACCACTCCACCACTCCAAATATGCATATTTGTTTATTGAAGTATGTAGATGAATTTAATTTACTGAAGAGAATGAAAACCCTTATATACAGGAAAGATTTTTCCATCCAGGGAAATGTGAGTGTCAGGGAGTTCAGTTCCCTGACAGCACAATGCTGAAGAGACAGAAGTAACGTGGCAATCCCCAGAACCCCACCACAGACAGAGTGTACCAGCTAGCAAGACTCACTCACTCTCACACATCTTCAAGCTAGAGAAGTTCAGACTGCTGAGTTCTGCCATCAAACTTAAGCGGTAGCTGCCCATAAACTCACTATGCAGCATGAACAGGATTTAAGACAAAGATTTTCTCCTGTTGAGAATTAAGTAATTTGTCCCTGCCTTATTTTTCTCCATGACAAAAAAAAACCCCACAACACGCTGAAGGTAGAGTGGAACTAGCACCTGCCTCTCCCACTTCCATTTTACACTACTGTTCAAACAAACCTGAATGCTATCTCGAAGAGCTAAGACATAACCGTCTAAATGGTGGAGAGAAGACTAGCCCAGGACAATTTACTAGATTTAAACTGAAAAGCTATAGCTGTTTGAAACCCGGCATGAATACTCCACTCTTGTCAAGCATCTAAACCATTCTATACAAGCCCCTTTATCTACAAGTAGATAAGAAAAATGGGATGGGAAGTACAAAATCAAGAAGTTCAAAGGCATCAAAGTAATTCATTTACATATGCAGTAAGCACTTTCTTTCAAACCTGGATCACAGGAGATCTTAAGGAGCAAAGCAAGAGGAATAAAAAAAAGCAGGTTTTTGGTTTGGAGGTTTTTTGTTGGGTTGGGGTGGTGGTGGGAGGGGTTGGTTGGTTGAAGAGTTTTATGTCACTTCATAAAGAAACATCTTATTCCTTTACTTATATTTATATATGCTAACACAATGAAAGCCCAGTCTGAAGTAGGCCTCTGGATAGTACTATGATAATGACAGTCTAGCTGGTTTCATGGCTGTTATTTTGCGATGGGAAGCAAAGTGATAAATGATGCAACTACATCACTAGCCACACTCCAAGGTGTATGTTCCCTTCTAAGAATCAATATGAATTAGCATTTCTAAGTAGAAATGCAACATTTGGTTTTTTTTTTTTTTTTATTCTGTAAGGGATTCAATAAGAGTTAATATTTTGGGGATGAAATCTGAAAAGAGCCACAAACAAGCATGAACTATCAGATGCAGTGTTTTAAACAGAAATTTTATTTTCGGACATTCACAAAGCAATCTAGTACTTCTAAACAAAAAACTAATTGATGTAAAATACACATTGTGGGATTGACTAAGTCTTAAATACATAATTTATTTGCAAAACCATAGTTTTTGGCAACATTCTTCCTGTTTATATTAATTTGACAAAATGTAAAAACAAAACAAAACAAAACAAAAAAACCACAAACCAAAACTAAGCAGTGTCCCTACCATGACAAAAACTATCCCCAATTCTAGAGTGGCATGAAATTAGAGAAGGCATGAAATAGATCAAATGGAAAAAAAACCAACCCCAAACAACAAAAAAAACCAACCCCAAACAAACCAAAAACCCCACACCACCCTACAACCCTGCTGAAATAACTCCACCTGAGGCTTGCATCTAGTAAGTACTTCTATAATTATTCTAGTACTAGGAATTACTATTGTCTAGTAAGTAATTGTTCTACTTAATTTGGTTAATTAGTACTATTACAAGAGAACTAATCAGAAGTTTCAGTGCCGTCTTTTAATATTTTCTTAGTAGTCTATTAATGCTACAACAGTTAACAAATACTTGTCTAATCAACCAAGAACAGTGAATTTCAGAGCATTAAGGCCCAGTATTTCCTTAACTTTGTTTCAATGTGTAAGTTCATAAAGACCCCATTCTCACAGCTGGATTTTCACCAGTGTACTCAAGTTTGTGCCAAACACTCCTGGTCTCACCGGAATCCTAAAAAGCAGGACCATCTACAGAACTGGTACCCGATTATGCTTTATACTATAAATTATACCCAACACCCATTACTGAAGATCAATTTCTTGTTGCTTGAGCTATAGTAATAACTAGATCTACTGATTTCCTATATGATAAACTTTTAAGATAAAGGTTAGCACACTGCACATTACTACTTCACTAAATACACATGGGAGTCATTCTGTGTGGTATAGGGGGCAAGTCATCCAGTGAAGTTAAAAAGAGTTTTATTCACATCTTACAAAGAAGTGGCCAGAGAGAGTCTAGTGCTTTTCTACACAGCGCATTCTGGGGCTGGACAAAGGCACCTCAAATGGCTCAGAAATAAAGGAAGTAGTACAGCAACTTGAGCAGGACAGAGGACCTTCTGAAATAGCAAGCACGAGATTCCACAGAAACAGCACACTCTGGAAGGCTCCATTTACACATTCTTATGTACCAACATGTACTATTTACTGTAATAGGAAATACTTCATGCTTTGTTCTGTAGAGTATCCATATCCTATTACTAGTACACCATCAATCTTGAATGATTCCTAGAATCTGGCCTTTATGCACGTTTTCTGTATTGCAACCCTTTCTTATGCCTAGGGATACTTTCTCTTATTGCTAAAAGAAAGCTCAGTTAACCTTCTAGATTATTCCCTACTTCACTCTAACATCAAAACAGAACTGCAACTTCTAGCAAGGAATCAGCAAAAGGAATGAACAAACTCTGATAAACAATGAATGTGCAGCGTGCTGTTCCATAAAAATAAAGTATTCTGTGTAAACAAAGAAATACTTAAAACCTGGAAACAAACAGAAAACCCTACAACCCATTTTATTTGGAAATCAAACATTTTTCTTGAGTATACCAGCAGCTCTGTAAAAGGAAGTAACAGCTACTATAATCCATGTACTACAGGAGCGCACCCTAATTACGTTTCCTCCACCCCCATGGATTCTATGGGAAGCCTGGTTTCTTTGCATAAGCACCTTGAAAGCTAGCATCAACATCTTAGTATGGATGGCAGACAAAATCCAAAATGCATCGTTATATAGAATTACATACAGGTAGCTACGGCATTCAAAATTCTTTCAAAGTATACTTTCAAGCTTTCCATTGACTGACTGGGAAGAATACACTGGGTATTGTTCACAGACAGTAGAACATGTAAACACGGATGGATTTCAGGCACAGCACAGGATGTGCAATCCACTGCAAGTCTCACAAGAAGTTTACTTTTAAAAAAAAAAAAAAAAAAAATTACTCCAGCGCTATACCAAACTATCATGCAGGTTTAATTTTAACTGAAGAATACTTACTGGCCCATCTTCAGACCTTTCCTTCGGTTTCTGTTTCTGTGGTGGGAGAAGTGAAATAATCTCTTTCTTCATTTGCTGAAGAACTTTTTTCAGCTCAGCATTTTCCACTAAAAGCTGTTTTTGGCGTTGTTCATAATCACTTAGCAGAACTTTGTACATTTCTTCTTCATTTCTGGAAGAAGAAGTCTTACAGTAACAACATAACAGCCATAATATATGCTTCAATTAATGTTCTAAGACAACTACCTGGCTTCTGTCTTATCAGTCCTCCATGCACCTCTCTTCCCATCAGCTCTACCAACATAATTTAGAACTTCCATAGCTACAAATGAAAAGGATATTTCAAAGCGTGAAACAACATGCAAATATATAAATATTCAGATGACATTGCATTTACATGTAGTTATTGTCAAGAGACCACATTACCCAAATATCCCCCTCAATCTTCAGACCCATATGAAACCACATTGCCCTGCTTAAAGTAAGAATAAGATAGTCAAGGAAAGAAGATAATTTTTATGTTTGGAAACTCACGGAGGGATGTACTCTCATCCTGTCATCTTTTTAATGCATTTCCTAATGACACCTTCATCCCTATTTCAACCTTTACGTCAATGGTGTGTCAACTCTAACCTCTCTTCTGGCAATAATGCTAGTTTTATCTCCAGTTTAGAGCAAGCAACTTCCTGATGTTTCACAAGGTGTTCCTCAAAACAAAGAAACTTCTCTGTCCATGTTCAAAGAAAAAAACAAAACAAAACAACACACACCCCAACAACAAAAACACAAAACCAAACACATCACTACAGATTAGTGGCCCAAGCTCAATTCTAGTTAGCTATCAAGCAAACAGTAACTAGATTTAAAACCCTGTTATTTTGGCCTCACTGATACTTGAGATAGTACTAGCCAACTGGAGTCAAGAACGTGCCGCAAGTAAGTTTTGCTGACCTCAGGGTGAGGCTTCTAGCGATTACCGAGCTGATACCTAAAGACCTTCTAGAGTCAAAACAGGTGTTCCTGCTACAGTGTCCTAAGATGGTCTGGCTTACCCACAAGCACTTTCAGAAAACTGAATCAGCAGAAAACCAACCTGGCAACAACAGGAATAGTTTTCTTCTGGTTTACTGAACTAAACCAGCTTACTAAAATACAACACGCACTACAGTCGGCAAACAGCTGAGCGTTTTGGGGGTGGCAGGAGGGATAAGAGAGGAAGAACAGGACTTCCCTTCCACTGGAGACAAATGATACAAATACTCTACGGCCAGATATATGAACCAAAAGATGCAGATACTTTTTTCAATTGCATAACGCTGATTCCTGTTTTCAGCAACACACCACAAAAACACTGTATTCATTCTAAATAGCACTGATGAACATCTCGAACGCAATTTTTGGGCAGCACAACATACGAGTACTCATATGATAAAGGAGATTTCTCCTCATTCCACATAGCACTAGATGCTATGTCTATCTTGTGTTACTTCCTCTCTAAAATTTCTCATCACTTGTCATTAACACAAGTAGATTGTAGTATCTCAAGGGGAAAAAAGCTCGTGCAGTGTTCCTTCCCGATTGTAACTTCTGGGCATAATACAGTGTTTATGACACTATCCAAAGTCTTGCAATGGTAGTAGTAGCATGAAAGTAGGAGAGGAGAGACAGCTCTAGCTTAGGAATTGATTCCAAATAATTCTCCCTAGTAAAAAAAAAAGTCATTTCATGAAGATCTCCATTTGGTTTATGCGAGGTAAACAATCTTATGGAACACAATATAAGAGTTTTTTAGCCTTACACAGTCAGCTGACATGAAATATTACATCTTTTACGTAACATTCTAACATCTAAATTTAAAAAAAAAAAAAAAAATCTACAAGAGGAGGGCCATATTGACCTTAAAGATACCCAGAACCAAATTTAAGCATTTTTAAAATACAGAATATGCTATTTTGCTGTAGTAAAATCCACAGAGCTACTTACCTATCTTTTTGTCCTTTTTGTTCATGACTAACTGATGCAAGCGTTCCTTTAATTTGTTATATTCTCTCTCTTTCCTCTTCATATCATGATTGTACTGTGTAGCTCTACTTGAAATTATGTTCTGTAACTTCTGTACCTAAAAGCAACCCCACAAAAACTGTGTTTCTTCAACTAAATCATAAACACATAAATTTCTTCAGAAAACCAAAACACGTGAAGCGAAATGACGCTTCTATTAAATTGTATTTCTGGTGAGAGGAAGTGACAAAAAGAATCAGCAGAACTCTCCCAACCCATGGATTCTGACCTCAGACTTATGTCAGGGGATTTAGTTTCTTTTCTGCAGAAACCAACATCGTAAGCAACATGTTATAATACTATAGTTCCTCTGAAGTACAACTGAACTCATGTTCTGGCAATTCGCATAACCTTCTTTAACACCTTTATTGAACAGAGCAGAGAAAGACATATTTTTGGTTTCAGAAATTAATGTTCAGGATCTAGTTTTACTCTAACTCTAAAGTATGCTTGTTAGGTTTACACTAAAAAAAAAAGACAAACTATTCTTCTTTTGGGCAGCAGGATGCTGGAAGACAGACTGTTCCATTTGGTCTAAAAGAACATTAAAACATATCATAAAGCACATTCTTGGCCTGTACTGTCAATACCTGGGTTGTTTTTGGTTTTTTATTTGTTTTTTTTTTTTTAATTGTCAGTTTTAACCTTACAAACATACAGCACATTCAATATTTTAAGCTGGAACTTTAGACTGTTCACAGATAGTACTGTGATTGCTAACTGTATGAATATGTTTATGAACACAGAGAACACTCACAGAAACTTAGGAGCCACGTGAAGTACAGTGGGTGGGAAGGAGCACACTGGAAACAAATCCCAAACTAAGCAGTGCCTTAGATGTCAAAGTGTTTTCAGGTCTTGGTTCTTCCAAGACTCCCAAGTTTAATGAGACTGTGCTTTTGGGCTGGGTTTCCCCCACCACCACCCTTCTTTTTCGTCTTTCGCTCTCCTCTACAATATAACTAAAAAAAGAAAAGCTCCTATACACAAACATTTGAGGAAGTGACTGAATCCTGTTGCCCCCTCCTACTTTTTGATATTTTTAAACATTCTAAGATAAATCTATGCTCAAAAGTACAGAAAGCCTCAGAAAACTGTACATGTGCATTTTTGCAGTACTCTCTACTATTGTTATAACTCAGACTTATTCCTTACAGAACCTATTTATCCATATGTAACATGCCAATTTCACTTTGGTGAAAGACAACCTTTACCAACAACAACAAAAAAAACATTCAAAGTGAACAATTACAAGACTCCTTGCAAAAAAACGTATTATTGAATATCTATGTAGTGACTTGTGTTAATGTACAAGACAACTCACTTCATCCTTTTCATTTTTAAGTAACTGGTGCAAATTTCTGTTCTTGCTTTGCAGTTGTCTGTCTCTTTCCTGAAGTCCAACTATTTCCCTTTTAGATAATTCCAACTGTTCCTAGAAAAAGTGTCGATAGTTCAGTATCAATAAGAATTAATAGCAAAGAATTAACAAAAAAACGCAACACACAAACCAAACTGCCAAACCGCCTCCCTTGAGGTAAGTTTGCCTATATATTTGATGTCTGATGTTTTGGGGATGATCTTGCATTCTCAATGACAAGTTAGTTCTATTTTCTGGAGCAAGAAGTATGATTCTCCAGTACAAGAAACACTCCTGCTCACAAGAAACTAAAATTTGGCTTGGTATTTAACAGATACTATCTTATGCAGTTATTACTTTTTCATTAAGTCAGGATCCTGTAAGCATATCTATACTGTGAGAGTGTGTTGGATACTAAGCAACCTGTATGAATTTGGGACTACAGTTTTACTGGAATGTTTCTGTTAAATAATCAAGGGAACAATTAACACAGATATGCAGACTGTGACCACAGCAAAGCAAATGGGACATTTCACATATACACAGTAAGGCTAGACAGATGATCTCATAACAGATTATGCAAAACTAGCATTTTAGAAATCTTTTTCCACAAATGAGACTCAAACAAACCTGAAATTGCCAACTTAAATGACAGAGCCAAACACAACATACAAGCTCTTTTTCTTCGCATGTGTAGTGAGCTACAAATGCGTAGAGATATTTAAGCAACAAGAACTTCTAAGGAAACCACGTCAGAATATAGGTAACACAATAGTGAAAGTCAAGAGGATCACTGCATGGTATCTGAAAGAATTTACATGAGAAACCTTACAAGCTGACAGCTAAATTAAATGCCCTGGGACTGAAGTAGTACTAACAAGTTTCCCCCCCACACCTTGAAGCCATTTGTCTAAGGAAAGTAACTGGAGCGTTCTGGAACCTAACATTATACAGCGTTTGTATAAAAATGAGTGCAGTTACACAGGATTTTTAACGTCACATTGAAATGCTTCTATGTGGATGACCAATCTCAGCAGAAGGACTACTATCATTCTGAGAATCTACAGCAGTATTTGTCAAGGAAACAGTGCTGGCCAGCCCTAGTGAAAAGCAAGCCTAAAAGGCCCCATATCATGCATTGAAGTAATCTTTTTTTTTTTTTTTTAATTTTCTTGACTGAATCAAGGGAAAGGCAACACTCTTCTAATATGACTGCACATACAAGTACCCATGAAGTAGCATAGGCTGTGAACTTCCAATATATCAGCTACTCCACAGTGATTGGCCTTGTGCATGTATTTATCCTGTGATAAAACGAAGCTTAGTAACTTCAGTTTTGCCAACAGCTTCTGAGCAATTCTTACAAAGAGACTTTGTAGTCGGCTATCCCAGGAATCCAACAACAACAAAAAAAATACATGGAAAAAAAACAACAGATATGGAGAAAGACTGATAACAACCCTGTGACACACACTAGAAATGCTACGTACGCTTTTAAATTCCCAATATAATTGTAACCAGTATCTTTGAGAGCTGGGCATATCCTTTTAAGTGATACTGAATGATATGAACTGAAGCGTTGAACATTTTCACCCACAGCATGCATTAACACTTCCAATCTGAACAGTCTTCCCTCTTCCTTGATTAAAGAGGCCATAATTCTAAATAAGTTCTCAGTTCTCTCATGAATTCATATTTCATTAACTTTAAGGAATTTTCAACTGGAAAAAGACTTAAAAAAAAACCCAAAATGCACATAAAAATACAACTGCAGATTAGTACTGGGGAGAAAAACAAAAAAAGCACTCACTGTTAAGAATGTACAGTATCTGTTAAACATAAGTGCTGCATAATATTGGCGGAATTATCTTGTTTTCTACCTTTAATTTAGCATAGCAGTTCTGTAAGTGGTCCATATCACTACCCAGTTTCAGATGCTGCATTTCTACTTCTTCCTGAGCTCGAAGGTTCTTGTGCTGCAGTACAAGCAATTCATTCATGCAATTTATGATAGATATTAAATTTAATTCTTTTCCTTTGGACTCCGCATAAATAGAAGGAAAGCCCAATGTTGTCAATTCCTGGTAAAAGACAAGGTGGGGGGGGAATAAATAACTGGATCAATCTCTCACAATTCTCTGAAAGAGAGAAACAATATCAGGTGAAATCCTATATGAAAGGGAAAAAAAAAATCCTATTCCCCACCAACTTTGGCTTCTGAGCATTGAGAAAGAAGCTTTCTTAATCCAGTGAATCTTTACTACCACAACTGATTTAACGGCACCTTCACACCTCCAATAAACAAGAAGATCTGGCTTACCCTATTGAGATAGGATATACTCTGTTCAATATTCTCTTCTGTGCAGAAGGCACTGAAAAAGCTGTGCATGCTTTTGGATGAAGGCAGTGGCAAGCGTAGCACTTGTGAGTTCATGCTTGGAGGAGATACCTTTTTTTCTGAGGTATATTGAAAAATATTTTTGCTATCTAAAAGTTAAAAACATTAAGAAACAAGTCAGGGCTGGTAGTTTAGGACACATCACGTACAAAAAAAAAATCAAATCCTTAACTACTCAAATTATTCTTTACAGAAATTTACAATTCTAGAGCTTAGAGTTTCATCTAGAATGACATATATTAAACAATTCACAATAAAAAAAAACAGATAAGCTTCCACTGAAGGTTTAAAAACTCAGTACCTTAAAATGTTATTATATCTTTCAAATTTTACTTGTCCGCCAAGAAAAAACTGCTCAAACTCTCTTCCTAATTGGCTTGCTACAACACAATTTAATTTTTTTTTCTCCATAGGTGCAAAAGCTGTGCATTTAGTGAGAATTCTTATAGAATGTATGATACCCTTATTCATATTAAATGTATGCTGTAATTTACTCTACCACTAGGTAGAAGTAGGCAAGAAAATATTTACTCCTTTAATGTATTTGTAACCAATTTATGAGGCAAAAGAACATAGAACAAGTAAAGAAACCTCTGAAAATGCAAGATATCCTAAAAGGTGCGATTAAAAAAAAAAAGTGTGACTGAAAAGTGTTAGAAACCTTTTATATATATACATATATATATATATATATAGTGTGTGTGAAAGGACATTATTTTACAGTAGCATTTCTGTAAGGACTTAATCCAAAACAAAGCACTGTATGTACTACATATGATTTAACATTCTGCTTAACTAGTCAAATACGTCATGCCCAAAACTTCAATCTCTCTCTCTTTAGCAGCTATAACATCACTGGTGAAGTTAGCAAAGCCACTAAATTCAAAATATTACCAGTTTACCTGATGACAGCACTGGCACAGTAAGAGTCTTCCAATCTCCCATAGCAACAAAGACAGGCAGGGGAACTGAGCAACCAGTGAAGTATTTAGTACAATTGCTGGCAACGTGTGTTACGTAGGCATCTCCTAAAATAGCAAGAGCATTTTAGATTAACGGTAGCAGGTAATACAGCTAGAAGATTAAAGCAGGCATAGGAGAGTGACTATTGGACTTGAGCCACATGAAATTGTTCTACTTCTTTACACAGCACTTGGAACACAGTAAGTGCAGCAATTATTACGCTGTAAAAATGATGCATCTACCTATATTTGGTTAGCCTTAAACTTAAACTAAGTCTTGTAAACCATTAACTAAAGCTAAAATGCCATACACACATGAAAATAATAAAGACTCACGCCGTAGAGAGCTCAGTTGTTTCTGTTGATGTACATCAAAGAAAACACAGCAAGCCAAATATTAAAGTTTTTCCTGCCATATAACCAGGAAGCAAGATAAGATAAACTTACATGAAGTTTTAACATAAATCTGAGCGGGATTATTACTTAAAGAGAAAGACAACAAAGGCTCTAGAGAAGATGTATTAGCAAAGAGAGGGCAAAGGAACTTCTAATAAATATTTAAACATTTAAATTTAACTTAACTTATACATTTAGTTATATTGCCTTTCCCTGGCAAGTTGCTTGCTTCTCTGCAGAATCTCTAAAATTGTTGAAGAAAACAAATAGGAGAAGCCTTACCCCGTTGGCACAGCCACTCAGTACAGCACTGGCCCTCTGGAAACCAAGGCAAAGTCACACACTCAAAAGAAAGAACAAACCGATGTGCCCTCACCCTACCTCCACCTCCCAGTAAGGAGGCACATAATAGCATTAGAGTTACCACACTGCTGGAAACTCAAAATCCAGCTTGGATGCTTAAGATTTGGACAGTGCAACCCCTCAGCTGTTACGTGAACAATGATACTGCAGGGAAACAAACTTTCCACTCGACAGGAAGGAAGGCCCCCTTTTTTTCAATTAACACTTTGGAACAAAAATCTCAAGTCAGTTTTAGATGGACACTGTAGACTTTTAGAGCACAGGGATGTTTTCCCCCAACCCCCTCTTCCCCCCCGCTAATGTTCCAAAAATGCACCCTGGAGAAGCAACTTCCAAATTTCTGATGCCAAAACCTTGTATTTTTATCACTGTGGAAAAAAGCTATCATTTGGGGGACAAAAGAAGGGGGGGGAGGTGTGCTCTGTTATCCATAAGGTCTCTTGAGGACACAGAGACAGTAAGAATCCTTATCAACATATCAAAGCACAGAACACAGTGCCCAAAGTAACACCAAGTTTTTAAAGAGATCATACAATCACACTGGTGCATAGCCATGTTACAGAATGTTCAGCACTAGAAAATAAAATATCCAGCTGGATGAATAGTTCTCCAGGTTCATAAATTTACTTGGATAAAAAGGGTAAACAATTATTCCTCAGATGAGTTGAAAGCTTGCAGAAGCTACTGAATTATATATCAGAAAGTAGACGTAAGGCAGTAAGAAAACACAATCTAGCAGCTGTTCTTGTTTTAGAAGTGCGTTTTTCTGTTTTCCTTCTGCCCATATTCATTTACACACTTTTTTCAATTTTTTTTCCCCTGTAAAACCAAAAATGTCCAGAAATGAACTATATGAATCTTCACTTAAAGACAATAATTGACTTCATAGCAGAAATCTGCAAGGCAATCTTTCCTTTTTTCACCCATCCAAAACAACTGTGCTTTTAAAAATGGAATTCAAAGTCAAACTAAGGATTAAGAGGACACACTTCTTACATGCTAGTTTTGTTTCTGTTGGATCCATCAGATAAAAGAAACCTGCAAATATAAGGGGAAAAGAGCGCAAATTAAGCTACAAGTATATTCTCATTACTGCCATCGCAATCCTGCATTCTAATAAGGTATTGCAAAAGGTTGTTAAGACACACAAATTCCATTAAGGACTGTTGGAAAGGCCACAAAAATACTACTCACATTTCAGATATGCCATTACTTTCAAACAAACTGGCTTTTATTCTTTAAGAGGCTGCATACCCATTATGAGATCTTATCACCCAAATTCCCTCAAAGTACAGTATTAACAACCCACAGGTAGCTTTACTCTGACAATACTATTCTATCACCCCAAACAATGTTTGACTGGTAGCAGAACCAGGACTAGTCCAGGTGTGGGAATGCAATGATTCTCTAAATTTTAGCCCTGCAAGCTGCATGCAGATTCATTCAGTGCAGGTGCTTTATCAAGACTACTCTCCAGTGACACACTGTTTCTAGGTACACCAACAAGAGGACACAAAGAAAATTAACACACAAACTCAGGCTCACAAGGACGTCTAGAGAAGACAGAGAAAGTAAGAACACATGGGCAGTACAATAAAGTCCAGACAATGCAACTATGTTCTTCTCACATAGATCAACTTTGAAGTCTCAACTTGAAGACTCTTTGTCTTCAAGACAAGAGCCTTTTGTCTTGAAAAGGCCACCTGCAGTACACTGCACACTGATTAATACATCAGATTAAAAGCCACCCTCAGCAATTTCAAGATTTGGAAAGCGCCAAACTCAAACTTCCTTCAACTGTTAAACCACTATCCCAAAGTATCTTAAATTGTTACGTGTCATCAAACAAGTGCAGTAGCTTTGAAGCAGTAATCATTTCAGAGATTGGTCAGCATTTTGTACTTGAATCATCTTTACAGTTTAGAATCAAACTCAGATGTACAGAACAAGACAATCCCGTGTCAGCTGCAAAAGGGAGTGCTACAAGCCTTCAGTCCCATGCTAAGATCATCTCATCAGTTCCACGTGGCTTCTACTGCCAGTTCAGGACCTTAGTCGTGACTTCTAAAGCTATCTAGTGATTAAGATGCATCAGATACATTTCCTTCCCTGTCTAGGCAGTTCCTCTGGAGCAACACGGCTCAAAATAGCCTCACTGAAGTATGCAAGAGCTAAAGATGAGCATTCCTGATGAAGACAGTGTGGATGCAAAATTAATTTAGATATACTGTATTCAGAAGGGACTCTTCACCTTTAGTACACTACAATGCTCTCTTTAACCACTGTAACATACCAGGGAACGTATTCACAAAGAGGAGGAACGTGTGTAACTCTGAAGCAGTATTTTGCCTAATTATGGAAGAATAATAAAATAGTACATAAGATTGAAAAGTACTGTAGGGGTCTCCCTAGGCTACCCTAGCTAACACAGAAATGCTTTAACCAAACAAAAGTAGTAAGAAGGTTTTGTGGGGTTTTCCGCCTCCAGGAAGGGGAGAAAAAAGAAAAAAAAAAATCAAATTTTGCTGTTTCCCAGCATCTCATACTAATGTCAAAAATCTGACTGACTAAGGGTGGGAGAGAAAAGAACCACTGAACAGCCAAAACTGCTGTAACTACTTAATGATTTTCCTTCTGTGTCCATTCTCTGTACACAGGGATTTGTTGCAGTTACTTCACCAACAGGTTCGATGACTTGCCCAAAAACCTGTAACGAGCCAGTGCTCGCCAGATGAAATTCCCCCAATTGGTAGTGTCGCTTCCTGTCCCAAGCAAGAAATTTCTGGGGTGGACAAGACCTAGGTGGATCGTCAGAAAACAAGCCTCTGGGGCCCAATTTCACATACGTGAATACAACGGCAGAGTGATCTCACTGCAGCTAAAAACCAAACAAAAAACCGCAAACACCCACAAAAAAATGCTTACACTAAAATCACAGACAGCTTGATTAATACCAAGGAACCAGTAATCAAACCAAGGCATACAAGTGCTTGTTGGAACAAGTGAAGTGCAAAAAACCCCCAAGAACTTAAAAAAAGCCATCATGGTAACAACATACTAGAACTTGATTCTTAGAAAGGCACATGGGGAATTTTGACAAAAATCTATAGGAATAGTTCCACAAACTCCTACATGATTCATTAACAAATACATCTTTCTTTTCAAAAACAAGTTTAGAATAAACTTCAAAAACATTTCACAAACCCAGAGAGCTAAAAGGAGCCGTTCTTAAAATTACTGGTTTGTGTTTTGGGGGACAGGGGAGGGGACTGACAATGAATGTGCCAAGATTCAGGATAGAAATCTGATTAAGTAAGCCTGAGTTCAGACCATATCACAACTCAAAGATCACGAGCAGTAAGAAGTAGGATTATAAGCTTTACACAACACAGCATACTTAGAATTTCTTAATATCATGCTTAAACTTGAAAAGGAGTGGTTGTAACTGGGTTTGCAAAACTCATTCAGACAATCAGAAGAGAATCGCTTGTCACAGCGCTGTGCTGTGATCATATTACACCATCTGGTCATCTCTAACCTACACAGGGTGTGACACAAATGGGAAATGCAGTATCCGGTAACCCAGAACACTTCCCCCCCTCCAAGGTAGAGAGGATAGGGAAAGGCAATTTTTGGAGAGGTGGTTTCTACCTGCCCCCAGTATCACAAGGTCTTGGAAAAAAAGTTTAAAAAGTCAGTATCAACCAGAAATTGTCAAACAAACATTCCTTCTCTGTATATTTCAAATAATACTACAAGTTGTGACATGTATATGTTTCAACTTGTAGGGGGGGGGGGGGGGGGGGGCATAGTTTCCATTTACTTAAAGGGCAGTATGATTCCTTCTACTAAAATTATATCCCAAAAGGAGCTGTGAATTTGCTTAAAGCTTTTACATTTGTCTAGTAATCCACAGATGCCACACAGATGGCTTTTATCTGGATAGACACAAAGACGTATCAGTCTATGTGTATTTAGGGTACACTCCAATCATGACATTGTAGGTTTACAAATATATCCCTGATAATGTCATAAGACATATACTTGTTTTAATTCATGTAATCACCATGAAAGTCCATGCATTTCCTCCCTAGAGTTTTGACACTTATTCTCTCTCTACAGCTGTTTTAATAACACAGTTTACAATTAGTACTAAAATACGCGTACCGTATCCAGTGATAACTGTATAGTTGAAAGAACTCCTTCCTCTAAAAATCTATTACAGTTTTAGTGACCTTTATTTAATATTGTAATTTTAATGATGGGCCTTGCAGTCAAAGCAGATCCCAGATCTTTCCTCCCACATTTACAAGATTGTGGCAATTTAATCGTTATTCTATTAACTGCAAAATGGGGGTGGGAGATTCCCTCCACTTATCCACATTCTATGGGAACTTTAAGTAGTGTCAAACTTCCAGCTAAACTTCTCAGTATTGTCAAAAGTAGCATGAAAAGATAAGTCAAACCACCCAGCCTGCAGGTATTAAGTACCCACTTCATTCTGAGCGTATCGTACTTAGAAAATCCCAACTACATTTCTCTGTTCCATTTTACTTAAAAAACAAACAAACAAACAAAAAAATCAAGACTTTTAAGAAAATAAATCTTTATTTGATCTTCTCAACACGTATAACCGCACAAGAATATACCCTCACATCTGACAAAATTCAGTGTTCAATGACTGTTCTGTCACGGTCTTTGCCTCAAACACTCAGGTTACAAGGAATATAATCTGATCTACTACCTCAAAATTCAACTCTACCTTTTACATACACAGATGACTGAAATTCTGTTAATGCAATCACTGAAAAAAAAAAATTTGAAACAAATGGAAATATTTCATCTGGCTCCCAAATTCCTACCCCATTTTGCACTAACACTATGGATCTTCACATTAGCATTTTCCTATCACTAAACAATAGCACTGGTTTTGTTAATCTTAAAAATTGTATTCCTCTGTTTGCATTCACATACCACTTACTACATGTAGCTGGAGCAGAACATTCTGCTACCAAATCTCCCCATGTCACAGATAGTTCCTGAGGCTTTCCTCTTGGGTGTCTTCTGCAGTTCCCCCTCGTTTTCCTGAGATCAACTTTAGCCAAACTTTATAGCTTGGCTGTCTCTGCAAACAGATGACTTTTAAAAAGAAAAAAAACAAACAAACCAAACCACAATGTTACTAGTTCGTCAAGTTGGTAATATTTACTGGGCAGAGCCAGAACTAGTATTCCAGATCTCAGAAATGATGAAACTCACAAGTTTCAGTAGCATATAACCTGTAAGTTAAATCAGGCATGGAATGGAAGATGGTAACTGTAACTAATTTCTCTAAAGATTGCCAGGTGACTGAAGGAATGGTTCTCCTGTAAATTCTAGGTTTCTATTGAGCAAACCAGAAGTGTCACAGAACAGACTTGGTAATTGCAAACAAACAGGACTGGTGAAATGTCAGCATACCTTCTGTGGAAGGAAGGAACACTAACAAGTCTGCCACAGTGCTCTGGAAGAAGGAATGAGCCAACATACCTGGGCAAGACAGCATAATTGGATTTCCAAAAAGCTTTTCACAGTGTTTCCTACCAAAAGCTCTTAAACTAAGATGTCAGCAGGTTTATTAATGACCGATTATAGATGGGGAAGGGCAAAGTGTTAACGAAGGGTGAGGAGAGGGTATGAAAGTATATCATATGAAAGTCCCAAAGAGACAAAAATTAGAGTTCCAAAGGGGTCTGCGCAGGCATCTCTAGCGTTCAGTAAATTTAAAAAGGTGACAAGCAGGTAAGTGAGAAAGCTCATGTACTGTACAGTTATTCAGAAAAATAAACACGCAGATTGAATGACAACTGCAGAAGATGGTCCTCATACTAAGCAAATGGATGATAAAAATCAGCAGCTGAAATTCCATGTTCATAAATGCAAACTAACACAATGAAAAAGACAACTCTGCTACGTACTTAAACCAACAAGCCTCTAGTTAGGTATTATCATGCAGGAAGAGATCCCAGGGTCACTATGATTAGTCCTCTGGAAATAAC